TTTTCAAAGTATTCTTGGTGGGAGTCGCTGCTTGTACATTCCTGCAAGAGCTTTGGCTGCACTGAAAATCATCTGTCTACGGGACATGCCTGTGAAAACCACATGCCAATCAGTCCTACTGACTTGTGGTAGACTTCTCTCCAGTACCTCGCCCACCGTCACAGAAAGGCCAGACCACCTGAGGTTGTAGTCCTGTGGGGTAAGATTTTGGGCCTATAAAAAAGGACAAAAATATAGATCAGTCAGCTATAGAGATTCTTCTGAGACAGTGTGAGAATTTTCAACTAGTTTCTAAAACATTGTTTTAAAAAAAATATCCACTTTAACCGGTTCCCAGCCTATAGCCAGATGGTGGCCGGCAAAACACCTCGTCCCTCCGGGTGGACGCTATATGGCGTCCTTTCAGGCATGCGCTCTGCGGCGCGATCTGTCACCAGCCTTGTACCTCGGACACGACCGATGACAGATCTGTGTACCGGCCCCGTTTCCAGTACCATGTGACCTGCTGTGACCAATCACAGCAGGTCACATGACAGTTGTATACAATGTATGGCTTCATTTCACGCCATCCATTGTATACTAGTGTGTCTAGCTGTGAATGTGAATGGTCACAGCGATCACATGCACAAGCTGGGCCAATCACAGCCCAGCTGTGTCATGTGATTAGCCGTGGCCAAATCACAGCTAAGCACAAAAAAAAAAAAAAACCCTAAATGAATCGATGTCATTCAGGTAAATGTTTGCTTATAGCAAAGTAATTCTTTGCTATAAGCAAATTGTGTAAAAAAATACTGATTACTTCCCCAAAGTAGTACAATGTTACTATGGTAACATACTACTTTGGGCATAGTAAAATATGAAGAAAGAAAAAAAAGAAAAAAAATGTAATAAAAAATTTAAACTAATAAAAAAAAAAAAAAAAAAAAAAAAAAAAAAAAAAAAGTAATTTTTTTTTCTTTCTTCCTGTCGCCAGTGTTCCTGATCACCGCCGAAATGCCCCATGCTCTCAATTCCCTGTACTGACCAAGTAGTAACACGGACTGTGTTGCAGAAGCTGCAGTAGGAAAAAAAGAAAAACTCTAACTTCCCTGACTGAGCTGCAGTGTTAAGACACAAGTTAGGGGATTTGCTCACAGTGGGAGTTACAGCAACAAAAGAAGTGCTGTCAATCCAGGATTGTAGTGGGCAGGACTAGGTGTGGCCAGAAGCTGATTGATAAGCTACATTCAACAACTCCAACAAACTGGTAGAATTTTTAGGGGGGGGGGGGTCATGCAAATAATTTCAGGAGAAATCTAAAGTGCTGGTTTGTCTTTAGCCTTTTTAGTCCTCTAACAAATATCCTGAGAAAAGTCCATCTAGCACAGGGATAGGCAACCTTGAAGAGGCGGAGAGCTACCTGAACAACATAGAAGTCAAAGATCACTGGGCACAGTGTCACCTCCTCACACCTGATTTAAACCTTTGATTGCTGTACTACGTTGTTGCAATTGTGTGCATTTAAATCAGTTTAAATCAGGTGGTAGGGCGGCACCTGTCAAATGCACTCGGATCACTTTCCAGAGAAGCAGCAGCGACTGCTGCACTTGTGAACGAGCCCTTAGTTGCATTCAGCAGCGGCACCCTTATGTCTCGTTCACACAAAGTTGGGGGGGGGGGGGGGGGGGGGGGGGGGGAGTTGTTAAAATCCTTCAGGTGAGTCACGATTGTACCACCCCCAATCCATATCCCCTTTAGCTGCTGAGGTAGCAGCCAAAGTTGTAAAGGTGTACACATGCTGCAGAAGGAATTACACCCCCTGTTGCTTTTTGTGGGTGCTACCGCCTGTCAATCACAACCTATTCAAGTAAATTAATCTACTCTTCAAGCACCCTGCAACTGTATGCTTCTGCATGGTCCAAGGGTTTAAAGCAGGTGGTGAGAAAGCAACACAATCCTGCCTGCTTTAAGTCCTTGTTTGCACAAGGTCACAGAGCACTTGCAGAATGGCCTCATTCACTTGAATGGGTTATGCTTGGCAGGTGCTACACCCATCAACTATGGCAAAGTGTATAACTCCTGCTGCGGCTCTGACATGTCTACACCCCTGGCCACTGAAGCTAAAAGGGAGTGTGGTTGGGGCAGGGGTGGTAAAAACACATCTAAACTAAGGGAAACCCTTACTGTTCTCAGCCCCCTATAAAAGGCTGCTTTCACACTGATGTACTGTGGCTTACCTGACCTGCACCACAGGTGCAGTGCATCTGCAACTTTCCTGGTTTAGCTGTGCTTTACCATAGACTTCTGTTTGTTATATCCTGAAGCTGTTGAGCACTTTCTGAAAGCTCACCAAAACTCCTGGAGTTTTGGTGTGCTTTCAGAAAGTGCACCAAACCTGCAGGATATCATTAGAAGTCTATAGCTAAGCGCAACAAACCCGCAAGAAAACTGCAGGTACACTGCACTGCACCCATGGTGTGGGTAAATCACAGCGCATCAGTGTGAAAGAAGCCCTATACTATTATGCTCGGTGTACAGCTTCAAACTGACTTGAAGATCTCCTCTTCTTTCCTATTGCTGGTATCACTCTGGAGGCTGCTAGCCGGCATAAGAGGTGGAGTGCAGTTGATATCATTTCTCATGGGACAGAATCCAGCACTACAGAGGAGGCATCGGCTTATGTGGTTCTTGCTCCCTATGACCGCTCCCACTTTACAAGCAGTTCCTCCTCTGGACTGCACTCTGTTTGATGCTCTGGGATGGTGGGTCAGCAAGCCCAGATCGGGATCTACCAGTCACCTGGCTGAGATCTATTGGTAGATTATGATCTGCTGGTTGCTGACCCCCGACCTAGCAGAACAGAATGAGTATCAGCAATTTTAAACACAAGTTAGAACTATGAGGCACTCTATTTGCTGATCATATTTGATAACTATTTTTAAAATTTTTATTGTGTCACAAAATGTTATTACATTTATCTACATTTTTTTTTTTACCAGTAGCTACTATACTAAGAAGAAAAAAAAAAATGGAAACAAACCTGCTGTACATATTCCAAAGGCAAAGGTGTAGCTTGTGTAAAGGTTTCTAAACGAATGCCATGGATTGGATCATCCAAAATGACGCAACCAATATCAAACCACCTAAAACATAACATCATAATGAAATCTGAATTGTACTTCATTTCAGTGCAAATAATGAGTAAACAATAGAATACATAGAAGGATAAAATTATATAGTTCTGCAAGCAGTCAGGGTATCTACATATATAAAAACACATAGGCCAAAAAAAAGAGGAACCTTTTCATATCAATCAGGTTTAATTTTCTCTTTATGAAACACAAACAAAAGGTGGTATGCCAAAGTGACAAATGTACAGATGACAACACTGGATTCCCTACAAAGATGAATATATCATTGCTTAAACTAGGACCATAACACTTGGAAAAAATATTTTAAGCCTGAGAAAAAGCTCTTCACAGAGAAAGAATTGTAGGCTTGTCTAAAACATTCTGTATATATGACTTTTGGTTTGAAACCGTAAACCTCATGCTAAAAGCAATGATTCAGCATCTATGACTAATTCTTACTTGTCAGGCAGCAGCTCCGCAATGAAGTTTTCTACTGACACAGCAGGTTGCTTCTCATGGATGACACCACTCCTGCGTAATCCATCTATTCTTTCTTGGGCTCCCTGAAAATAAATTGGAAAAAAAGAATATAAAGAACACACTTCAAGTGAACAGAACAACGAGCAATGACAAGACACCAAGAAGAGTAGATTATAAAAACACCTATGGCTGCTATATACAAAAATAAATAATATTACCAGCTCTAAATTATATCTGCATGTCAACTTTAAGAATGTATGAATAAAATCTCTAATCTCCCAGCACACAATTTTGTACGGTTTAGTGGAGGGCTTTTTAGTTCCTTTTTTTTAATTTTTATTTTCATTATAATATGCTTTTTCGGAGTAGAGTAGCTCTTTAATACGAGTATGGCCCTTTAAATTGCCTTTGAGCCGTTTAAGAATATATTTGTTACTTTTTGTATTGTATTTAAGGAAGACTTACTCATGTATGATAATTTTTATACTTATCAGAGTACACAGTTATTTATACTGGATACTGTTAATTATGCCATGTATTAGGTGGAGTGTGGGTTATTCCACACCACTGTGAGTGGTTAAGTCAATGCCGCGATGCAGAGTGCGTGCGGGATATCTAGGGTTGGTCTGACGTCTGCATCCAAACCACCCCCGTGAGGACGTCGTGGTGACGAAACGCGTAGGGCGTGGCCGACAGGATGTTGACGTTGTAACACTCCTCCTGTGTATGTCGGAGAGGACCCGTGGTGAGCAGTGCTAGTGATTTATGCCTATGCCTTTGATGCTGGTGTCGGTCTAGACACCTTGTTTGTAAGTGTGTTACTACATTAAATATATGCTTTGGTTTTAAACACGCTGCACTATTATGCCTTTTCTTTGCCTTTGAACATCGTTCCAATGTCTATGGAGAATCGCATATCCATTTAAGAGAGAGTGGTTGCGAAGAGCTTTTCCATGATTGTCTGGAATCAATCCTAGTAAAAGTGGCATTTTTTCACATCCTAAGGGATTCAATACTGCAGAATATTGCACCCAATACCTGGAATTGGAATACTTCTCGCTCCCAGAGCAATAGCGCTTATGTTGGTCTATGATTTGATCAGCATATAGCTCTGGCGAGTTACCCAACTTTATTTGGTGGTGGATTGCACATGGTGGTTTCAAATTTATCCTGTGGGACTTTTGTCAAAAGTGTTTGGACTTTCGCACATTGATTTTTGGACACTTTATGGTTTATTCACAATTTATTTTTGAAAATGTTTTGTTTTATATTGATTTATGCACATTTCATGAGAGATTTATGTCTTTAGCGCATTCCTATAGTTGAAGTTGTTTTGACCAAGATTATATAATAATTTTTGGGTTTGGAGTTGCTGCTATACTAATTAAGGGTGTGGTGCTTTTCTAAATAACATTCTCCTTTATATATTAGTATTCTATTGGTATTTCAAAAGATTTTTAATAGTATATTTTATATATGTCATTTTCACCTTTTTCCAGTTTGATGTTTTATATTAATGCTTGACTATACACATTTGTGGTTTTTAACGTCCTTTTTTACATTGGATCTTTTTTATTTTAATGTCTTATATAATGCATGCAGTACATAAGGTTTACTTAATCCAGTTAATACTTACCCATACATGTTTTATCCGGAGTACTGCATGATATGTTTTATTTTACCTTTAATTAGCCACACAAGATTGTCTATCCTCTTAGAAATATACCTTTCAAAAGGCATTTAACAGACAGTGGTTTTACTAATTTTTCTAAAGTTCTGTCCCTTACATAGATCATTATTGGTAACCTGCATATGTTGCTATACTTTCTCTGCTGTCATTTGTTCTAATAAAATCGGGCTGTTTAACTATACTACCGATTCACACAGCATCACAGCTGTGTTTATGATAAAGATCCATTGGAAAATGGCATCGACCGTTCCGCGCATGCGCAATTCGCTCGTCCTCCGGTAAAATGGAGGCGATGCGACGCGCAATTACTATATATAGCGGCGATCACCATTACAGCGGTGTTGATCCCCCTCTGAAGACGTGCTTTAGCACGAAAGGCCTCAGGAGGCTCAACACGCTGTGACGTCATGCCACCGGAGCCACGAGTTGGTCCGGCAGCCATCTTAAAGTAGGGTCAGTCTCTTGTTTATCTGCTCTGCTTTTTAACCCATCATTGTTAATAAAGCACTTTTGAAACATACTACACTATGGGCAATTTTTCTATGGCTCCCCCACGGAGCTATTAAGTTGCAGAACCAGTGGAAGTCTCTTGCTGAAAGATACAGTACCCAGAGGAAGGGAATCCCTATATGCAGGTTGCAGACCCAATCTACCATAAAGGAGACCTCTGGTGACATATTCTTCATCTACACTCCACTGTGCTGCCCATTTTCCTAGAGGAGGACCTCTACCTACTGTAACTCTCCTAGAGGTGGATTTATATATGCGCTTATCCCATACGCATCTGGTAAGTGCGCATTTTTTCCAGTTTTCCCAAGCACCATCACTTTGATCTTCTGGCTCACTTGGACGTTATCACATTTATCCACGAACTTAATTTTATGACTCACTATTTAGCGCTGCACTTCATTATATGCTTTATTCTCCTTTAACCACTTGCCTACCAGGCACTTATACGCACTTCCTGCCCAGGCCAATTTTCAGCTTTCAGCGCTGTCGCACTTTGAATGACAACTGCGCGGTCATGCAACACTGTACCCATATGACATTTTTATCATTTTTTTTCACACAAATAGATCTTTCTTTTGGTGGTATTTAATCACTGCTGGGTGTTTTATTATTTGTGCTATAAACAACAAAGTTTTTCTTTGTTTCTATCATAAAATTTTGCAAACAGGTTATTTTTCTCCTTCACTGATGTGCGTTGATCAGGCTGCACTGATGGGCACTGATAGGCGACACCGATATGCAACAATGATGGGCACTGATAGGCAGCACTGATGGGTGGCACTGACTGACGGCACTGAATAGCAGCACTACAGGGCACTGAGGGGGGGCATTGATGGGGAGCACTGCTGGGCACTGGAGGGTGGCAATACTAGGCACAGGTGGGCGGCGCTGCTGGGTGGCACTGATTATCAGTGCCGATCTGTCCTTTGGCAATTGCCGCTTATCGACAGTACTTTCCTCGCACGAGGAAAGTGCAGCAGATAACCGGCAAATGCATTTACCGATATTTGTGGTGTCATTGGACACAGCTGATCATGTGGTAAAAGGCTTCTGTGATTGGCCTTTTACCACATCATGTGATCAGCTGTGTCCATAGGCACAGCAATCATGGAGATCGCCAGGTGCGCGCCCCCGGGGATGTGCGGAAGGGTGAGTTCTTGGAGGCCGTCATATGAAGCCCTCCCAGGACTGGAAAACCATGCTGTAGCTGTCATTCGGCTATAGCGCGGTTGCCAAGTGATTAAAGTGTATGTTACCCCAAAATTGTATATTTCTTGCATGAGTCTGCTACAATGTACTTACAGTGAAAATGAAAAATGTAAATGTATCCCATTTCAAACTGACCATGCCAGGCACGGAAGAAAACAATCCCAGCATGGTGTGCTTCATGGCATTCTACTTGGTAGCACAGTTTGCCTGTACTCTAGTGGTCAGACTTCTGCTGACATGTTCCCCTGCACAGCTCTTCACTAGAAGATTAGAGTACTGCTGCTTATCTGTCTCTCTCGTTTTTTTTATTTTTATATATATATATATAATATATATATATATATATACACACATTCAACTCTATTTTAAACTGTATGAATGGTTTTACAAGGTAAGGTTCACATATACTTTAAGTCCACCTCACCTTAACCTGGTTATACTTAAAGCGGAACTTCACCCTCTCAATCAACATGGACTATGTTTAAACCTTATGCTGCTAGCACTAGTAAATAGATAGGGAGTATATTATATTTACTTGTTTAAAACCTTTTTTTTTACATTTCTTCAGTTACTTCCTGGTTTCCATGCCTAGGCAAATGATGTCATACATCCCATGAGTCTTCAGGAAAGGAGGGAGGGTTAGCCTATCCCTGAGCTAAAGGCAGATGGATTCCAGGAAGTAAATGATACATGAATTATCTGTCCTTACTCAAGATGGACACTGCCAGAAAAGCCAGGGGGTGTTTTTCAAAATGATTTCTCAGCAAAATAAAGCATGGAGGCATGGATGTATGGGGCAGTTAGCTTTGAATTTTAAAAATTAATTAAATAGCATTTTTGGTTTGTGATGCTCAGATGCAGTGCAGTTCCAATATAGTAAAAATTACAGTTTCAGGGAAGGATTAAAGCTCATGAATGGGTTTTACTGTCCAGGGCTTAGATGAAAACATTTTCTATCACTTACTGTATTGGAGACAATCTATTCACTGGATGGGAAATGAAACAGCAACACAGACAGTAATAAAAGTTTTAACATTAAGGGAAAGGCTCAAACCCCAGTCAGCTTTTTATTGTTGTCCCGTTGCAGATTTTCCCTCACTTTCTATCTGATGAAACCTTGTCCCCAAAAAAGGAGTGCAGGGAAATCCCTATAATGGTACCTAATGGTGTCAACTGGAAGCAAATCCCTATGAGGGTTCTAACCTTTCCCCGCTGTATCCAAAAACAAACCTGGATACCTTTTAAGCTATCCAGAGTAGAAGCAGAAATACACATTTTTAATACAGTGTTGGGAAGAGAGGACGGATTTATAGAATAAAGCTCTTCCCGTCTCAGTAGACCAATACAAAGAGCAAACAATGATGTGAGAAAGTACAGTAATTCTAATTAAAGCAGACCCAGATAATTTTATTTGCCAAACAGTACAAGACAGGACACTTTCTGCAGGTTGCTCTTTTGCCTAGGGGCTTTTTATCAACTATTTCCCACCACATCACACTGTGTAGCTAACATGGGTGTGAGAGGGCTGCTATGTTTCTAGAGGTACAAGCTATCACCGGGCAGCCATTTCCCTTCCTAGACCTAAAGATGCTGATTTTTTTTTATTACTAATTGCTTTTGCACATTCACTTGTGCTTAATAATCCTGCAGCTGAACCTTCTTGGGTAGTAATGACAAAATACAAAACCGCACTGAAACTTGCAACAAACCAGCAGGGATACCTATGTGAAGGGCAAAATGTACAATATATTGTAAATGTGAATGGTTTTACCCGCCAAGAGATTTGCAATTGTCTGACACTTAGGCCTCATTTGCACTAGCATTTGGGGAATGGTAACAAAACATGTGATACTTACCTGCTCTGTGCAGTGGTTCTGCAGCTCCGATCCTCTTCTTCTCGAGTCCCCACCCAGCGCTTCTGTCTCCTCCCCCCTAAACAGCACCCCCATAAAAAGCAGCTTACTATGCGGGCAATGGTGTGTGCTCACTCCTGGGCCCTGCTCTCTGCATGCATAAAACAGAGCAGAACAGGACTTGGCCCTGCCCCCTACTCCTTCCTCACAGTCTGTGATTGGCAGCCTATGGCTCCCGCTGCCGTGGCTCAAGCAAATGAGGGAGAAGAACTGGGAGGTCTGGCTGAACCGAGATGGGGCTCAAGTGAATATGAGAAGGGGCGCTACACACTGAAGGTTTTTACCTTCATGCATACAATGCATGGAGGTAAAAAGCCTTCAGCCTTTACAACCACTTTAAGGAAGCGGTGAGAAAGAGATACAAAGCCTCCTCACCACCTGTCAAATGCTCTCTGAATGTTGATCACTCTTCATAGCAATACTGGTGTAAACTAGCCCTTATAGTTCCCACACAACTACAGCTACACTCACATCATATTTCTCCCCCTCACCACCCCTCTCAGTCTTATACTCATCTGACCCTGATCCAGTGAAAGGTTGCTGCACAGATCACCACCATGTGTCAAAATGATCCCAGCCAGTCTCTCATATACACGCTGCACTCTCCATTCATTCCCATGGTGCATGCACATACTAGCTCATACACTGAAATCTACAACAATGTTAGTGCAGAGGATATACACAGGCCCAACTGGGAAGAATATGAGAAGTGGCAGTCTAGATTGCAATATCTTGCTGGATTGGAAACAGGCCAGTATAAGACAGAGATGGTGTTGGGTGCAAGTGGCGTGATCTGAACAAACTGTCAAAATGTCATGACATATCCCTCTGTTTTGAATTCTGCAGTAACCTGTCCCGCCATGCTTTACCTTAGTATATTGATAGTGTGTACACAGACTGAATATAAACAGAACTGGCACTTACCTTTAACCCAGCAGCATATCCAACAGGCTGTGGTGCAATATTTGACTGCCCGTCTTCCCCTGTTACAAGAGCCATTCCAAACACCTCCTGAAAAGCATCACGAACAGCTGCAACCTTCACCTCTTTGTTAGATGTCACTATTAGGTCAAGCTCTCCTCCAGATCCTACACAAAAAGGAAATGTTTAAAAAAAAGCTTGTAGAAGATGCACAGGTTATACAAAGTGTCAGCAACAACCACAATGCAATTCTCTAATAATCACTTAGGCAAAAAAGTTAGCTAAAGAGCAGCCAGTGTTGAGCTCCCCTTAATAGACAGCCTTTGAGTAAGACAGTAAGCACAGACTCCCTCCCTAACCCAACATCTGCTCCTGGAGAATCATTTACATTCAAACAGGTGAGGAACAAAAGTTTAAATCTGGTTGGACACTGGTGTAAAATGGTTTAATATAGTACCTACTTACGAATATTAGCATTTTATTGCTTATATAGTTAGCACTCAGCAGTGACAGTCATCGTTCCAAATTTTCTATTTATTTATTTTTAAACTTCAGTATTACCAGTGAATAGAAAGAAAATGCAAACATTCAAATCAAACTGTAAATAAATAAATAACCCAACTTGTGGGTGACATTCAACAAATTAAACTGTTTGCCTACAGTGTATGTAATGAAGCATGTATTTAACAGACTAAAAAAAAAAAAAAAGAAAAACAGCCATTTGAAAATCAATTTACACTAAATGAAAGATATAAAGTAAGCGACAGAAAGGCTTCATTGAAACTAAAAATGGGAAAAATTGAAGGAAGCTGGACTTCCAATACACATCAAACATTTATATTAACAAATGAATATTTATTAAGGTACACTCCTGACAGACTGCTAAATCATGCTGGAATTTCAAATAAGCACACTGCATGCATATATGTTTACAGCCTTTGTCAACTGATTAAGGCTCCATGCACACTAGTGTTATATTTTCAGCTAAACAAAACCCCGCTGGTAATAGTGTTTTTTTAGTAGCATTTTATTAGCGTGTTTTACAAGAAATGTAGAGGGCAAAAAAAAGCTAGAAAAAAAAAGCTGTTAAGAGCGTTTTAGCAGCATTCAGGGTTTTCTTTCTGCTGGAAAAACACTGCAAAAACTCTCTATCCATTCAGTCGTATCCGACCCTTGGTGATTGCATGGACCATCACTCAGCGACTTTTCCATGAATTCTCTTAGAAATTATCTTACAGAGTAGGTTGCCAGGTCTTTCCCCAACCCCTACCATGCAGGAAATCCCACGTGGCCAGGGATGAAACTAGGACAATTTTTTAGACAAGAGCCAATTAACCTACCAGCATGTCTTTGGAGTGTGGGAGGAAACCCGAGTACCCAGAGGAAACCCACGCGAACACAGGGAGAACATGCAAACTCCATGCAGAAGGCGCCAGGGTTGGAAAATGAACCCATGACCCATTTACTGCAAGGCAGAAGTGCTAACACACTAAGCCACTGTGCCGTCCGCAAAAACTATACAAAAACAATTTTTTTTTCTGCTTCTAGGCACTGCCGCTCAAAAAATGCTAATAGCCTAAAGTAGTGTGCATGGACACATAGGATAACACAATTTAGCTTCTAGGAGCAGAAAAAAAAATGCAAATAAGATTCTAGAAGCAAGTGTGCATGGAGCCCAAGACTGTCCTGTCTTTATTAGGAGAGCGAGAGGAGTCCATCCTCTGTCTGCAGAGCTCTTGTGTTTGTACAGAGCATGCCATCTGCTGTCTGCAAGTATATTCATAGTACATTGCAATAGTTTAGTTACCTGTTGAAAGCCACACAGTATATTTTTTTAAATTTGTTTTTACTTTTATTAGTATTGAACAGAATAAATAGAAACAAATAAAATATATGTAAAATATATATAGAATAAAGTATTTAAAGCACGGGTCCTCAAACCTTTTAAACATGGGGTCAGTTCACTGACCTTCACAGGGTGGCCAGACTATAAATTGAAAAAAAAAAATATTAACAATTTCCTATGCACACCACACATCTTATTTGTAGTGGAAAAAAAACAAAAAAAACCCCCAAAAAAACAGGAAAAAAAATACAATATTTAAAAAGCACTGTACACGAATGCATTGGAAACCGCAATGCACTGTACACTAACGCACTGGACGCAGCAATGCACTATACTCCAACGCACTGGACACCAAAATGCACTGGACACAGCAATGCTGTGTACACTGTAACGCAATGAACACTAACGCACTTAACACCGCAATGCACTGTACCTGGTGTGCTCTCCTCCTCTCTTGTCGCGCCTTTGGCTGCAGCAGGTTAAATCTGGGGCTTCCAGGATGCTGTTCACTAGGTCCTCCCGGCCGAGGACCCAGCGAGCAGCCTAGCTATTTGCCGGTCGGCGCCGTGTTTTTTTTTTTTTTTTTCCCCCTCGATTTTTTTTTTTTTTGGCTGGCCCGGCAGGCCAGACAAATGTCTTTGGCGGGACATATCCGGCCCGCGGGGTAGAATTTGAGGACCCCTGATTTAAAGTTACAGGATGATAGAGGATTTTAGCTGGATTTCTCCTTGGGCAGCCTCGTACAACTATCACCAAATAGTATTTGTGTGTCCACACTAGAAACATGCCTTCCTCTGTGACTGTAGAAGTGATATACAGCTAGCAACAGGCAGGAAGGTTTCCCAATTTCTATTACAAAAGATCTCACACCTACACATCAACACTAAATCTGTCACTAAGCCCCAATTCACACCAGAGTTTTGTAGCTTAATGCTCCAAAAACGAACAACCAAAATTCCAAGCTTTTAAATTGCACCTTAAGTTGCCTGAGTTACTTTTAAAGCAGAAAGGGGCATTATTTTCCCCTTGGACTGTGTCTGACCACCACAAACAAAAAACATTAACTAATTTTTAATACTCAAAGCAAACTCACCCATCCATCCATCCATGTCTCCATGCTTTATTTCACTTAGGAAAACACCCTCCTTGAATTTCTGGCCGTGGCCATTTTGAAAAATGCAGGCGATTCAGGTAGCATTTACTTCCTAGAATCCATCTGCCCATAGCTTAGGCATACAGGCAGGAGGGTGTGCTTAACTGAGAAAACCCCTCCTGAAGACGCCTGGGGTGTATGACATAATTTGCCTAGGCATTGAAACTAGAAAGTGACTAAAGAAATGTAAAAAATAGTTTAAAACACGTATAAATTATATACTTTCCTATATACTAATGCTAGAAGCATACGGATTCAAAATTGTCAACGTTGACTAAGATAGTGAAGTTCCACTTCCATGAGATATATATTCATTGACTTAAACCCAAAAACCCACAATTATAGTGAAAAGATCAAAACCCAAAGAGATTACCCAAAAAATAAAAAATATCAAATATATATAAAAAACAAAAATAAATAAAGTCCCAATATGCAAAGTGTCCAAATAATGTGTCCAAACAAAGATCAATTTCTTGATAGGAAGACGCTTCCTACTCCACTGAAGAAGATGCAAATCAATCACAGGTGCTCTTCAAATACCTCAAAAAACAAAATCTCAACATAGTATATTACCTTTTAAATCCCAGAACTAAAGTGCCACACGTGTATCATGCAAAAAAAAAAAACACTCCAGTGTCACAGCACTCATGTGAGAGAAAAAGAAAAAAAAAAAAATTAAATTTTATAAATATCACTGCAAACTATATATAAAAGTGCATAATTACCCTAAAACAAACAAATTCCAGTTTGTAATCAACCACATATGTACAGAGTGTCCTTAGATTGGTATCCTCTTGTTCCTCAGGACCTCACAAACGGACCAGGAATCAGTATGTGAATTATAATCATATATAAAATTTATTGTAGCCACTTACATATAAAAACGATAAGATCAGCAAGACAGCATCCAACTCCTCATGCCACTCCACAGCTGATATACCATGCTAGATAGTCCTATCTAGTTGCTAGTTGGATGCTGTCTTGCTGATCTTATCGTTTTTATATGTAAGTGGCTGCAATAAATTTTATATATGATTATAATTCACATACTGATTCCTGGTCTGTTTGTGAGGTCCTGAGGAACAAGAGGATACCAATCTAAGGACACTCTGTACATATGTGGTTGATTACAAACTGGAATTTGTTTGTTTTAGGGTAATTATGCACTTTATATATAGTTTGCAGTGATATTTATAAAATTAAATTTTTTTTTCTTTTTCTCTCACATGAGTGCTGTGACACTGGAGTGTTTTTTTTTTTGCATGATACACGTGTGGAACTTTAGTTCTGGGATTTAAAAGGTAATATACTATGTTGAGATTTTGTTTTTTGAGGTATTTGAAGAGCACCTGTGATTGATTTGCATCTTCTTCAGTGGAGTAGGAAGCGTCTTCCTATCAAGAAATTGATCTTTGTTTGGACACATTATTTGGACACTTTGCATATTGGGACTTTATTTATTTTTGTTCTTTTATATATATTTGATATTTTTTATTTTTTGGGTAATCTCTTTGGGTTTTGATCTTTTCACTATAATTGTGGGTTTTTGGGTTTAAGTCAATGAATATATATTTTATTAGTACTTCAGGGGAAGGATATTGATATGACTTTAAGGGATTTTTGAGGATTTTATATATATGTGTGCTGATTTATACTTATTCCACTTCCATGAGAGCACCTGAAAAAGAGCCATCTCCTCCTAGAGCTTTCTCCTCCTAGTAACTAGCTTTGCATTGTCTACTCAAAAAAAAAAACTCAAGCCTTAAAAAATGCTGTAAAATTTTCTGTAAATGCTCACACCCAGGAGTGACTGAATCCTTACAGTTCACTGGGGAGCTAAGCAAATACAAGGAAGGGGGAACACTGAAATGCAGACATTTGTCAGCATGCCAGATGTGTGTGATTATTATGTAGGCTTCTTGTTCTTGGTGGTCAGCTGCCCTATTAGTTTAGCATTTTCTACATGCCCATATACAGTGCCTTGAAAAAGTATTCATACCCCTTGAAATTTTCTACATTTTGTCATGTTACAACTAAAAACGTAAATGTCTTTTATTGGGATTTTATGTGATAGACCAACACAAAGTGACACATAATTGTGAAGTGGAAGGAAAATGATAAATGGTTTTCAAAACTTTTTTTCAAAGAAAACATCTGTAAAGTGTGGC